TTCAGCCCCTCGCCCCCCCTACCCTCGCCCCCTCAGAGACACAGCATTTCATCCCCTTCATTTTAAACTCACAGCTGTCATTTACCCAGCAGCCCCTGTAATGTACACCATCAGACTGATGCAGATCACTGACGTAGGCCACATGCACAGCAGCGAGATCAAGGCCCTTAAACGCAACAGCTTGCTACTGTAACGAAGGTAACAAAGAGTTTGTTTTTGAATGTTTGCTGTGAACATTTTTTCTCCTTGTGAATAAAAAAATAAGTGCTTTAATCCTCACCTGACGTCATGATGCTGCTGCTGCTGCTGCTGCTGCCGCCGCTTAGGCTGCGTTCCATTAAGGTGATTTCTGTCCAGTGTTTACTCGTTCAGTTTGGGACCAGATCTGATGCAAAAGTAAGATTCTCTGTGCTCGTCTGCAGGAACCGTTGTCGGCCTCACGGCACCCGGACGTTTTCCCTCCATTTCCTGTCTTTTCCCCCTCACCGTTGTCCAGTTGTCAGAAAGTGAGTAAAATGTGCGACTTTACCGGCATCACGGTTGTGGTTCTCTGCACCTTTCGTTCGACTCTTCACACCTCTGGGCCAATGAGATCAGATCAAATCACCTCGGTGTTGACAGAATCACGACACGGCACATATTTTTCCCCTCACTGTGGTTTAATGGCCTTGGTTTTACAGAGAGACACGGGTGTTCAGACCATAAACGAACACTAGGTGTCAGCACAACAAACTTTTCTGTTGACACCAGGGAACGTGGGGTCAGAGGTCATGCAGAAGTCAAATAAAGGATAAAATAACATTGAACGTCTGAACTTTTCTCTGCCAATTAGATAAAACAAAAAGTCTGTCTTTTTCCCCTTTGTTTTAATGCGTTCGATAAATCACCTTCATAATTTTACAAAACATTTTCTGAATGGGCCGAATTTAAACGCCAAGCGGGCCAGTTTTGGCCCGTGGGCCGTATGTTTGACACCCAATGCCTTAACTGGTCTTAAATGTTTCAAAACTATTCTAACATTGTGCGGCAGTTAAACCCACGTCTGTCTGGTTTTGATTCCGTTCAGTCTGACTTGTTTATATTTGTTTTGTTTTTTTTTCCACCCTGTAGAAGGCGCCGGGTTTTTACTTGCCTTGCAAAGAGTTGCTGGTTCAAATCTGGGTAGTTCTTCACTCCTCACCCCGACAGAAAGAGTTGCATCAGGAAAGGTGACTATGGTGTTAAAACTGTGAAAAATCATTATTGCTGGGGTGACCTCTGACCTCTGGTGACATCTTTGAAAATGCATGTATGAAATTCACTCTATTTTATGTGTAAAAACTCAAATCTCATAGTCTTTTTTTTTTAGCATGTATGAAATTCACTCTATTTCATGTGTAAAAACTCAAATCTCATAGTCTCAAATATTATATTTTAATTCTGAAGTTAGGAGATAAATGACCCGACCTTACTCTTCAACAACATTACATCAACTAACTATGTTAACGGCTGTAGCTGTGTGGTTGTTTTTGTTGTTACTTTGTTGACCGTGTCCTTGACCTCTGACCTTTTAAACCAAGCCTTAATCCCTCTGACAATCACTCTCTGTCTTTGCTCAGCTCTTTTTTTTTTTTTCTCGTCCCACCAGAGAAAAACCTTTCAGTCAAACGTCAGCAGCTGATGCACTGCAGTCTTTTCAGAGTTGTGCCACTAACGGCCGCAGCTCCTGTAAAAGTCGTCTCTTGTAACGGCGTGGAATTATTATTTTTTTTATTTATTTTTTTCTATCAAAACAAAGGACGGCTCCTGCAGCACCATCGTCCCCGTCCTTGCCAGCAGCCAGTGTTGAACTTGGACGGCGGTGATTCTGCAGTGTCAACGTTTAAGAAGTGAAGCTCATTCAGAGCTGAGAAATTTTCTTCAAAACTTCAACCCTGTTATGATGACTTTTTGTTTTTTAATCATTCAGGAGCTGGAGAAATGAACCAGTGTTGATTTAATGAGAATATTTTTATTTTCTTTTATTATCCACGGAGCTTTTTACCTCAGAGAAACAGTCCTAAACTGCAAAAGTTACTGAAGTAAAACCTAGGAACGTGACTTGACAAGAATCTATGATGCGTATCACGATACAATATTTTGCGATACTATAGACATGGTGATGTATTGAGTCCTCCCCCACCCCCCAGTGTAGCTGTAGTCCCATTTTTTCTGTAGTCCCAGTGTGATCCTAGTCTCAGACTCTGTTCCATCTGAACACCAGTTCCTAACAGTGGAACAGAGGGATCTACATTTGGAATCACTAGAGAAGAAAGAAAAGAAAAAGAAAATGAACCAACACCAGGAATATTGGACTGATTTAAAGAAAAAAAAATTCATGCAGTGCTGTAGGATATCGATACGATATCGTGAATATTTCGGTGTATTGATATATTTTCTTACGGCCCTGGTTGAAATACTTGTTGAAGTTCATTTCTCCTGGACCGTGTTTTAACGACAGAGCAGAGTTACAGAGAAATTTGTATTTTCGTCTTCCTAATTGAAAATAAAAATTAATTACCTGAGAAACCAGTGCGATGATGAGCAACAGGAGGAAAAATAATTCAAAATAAACAAATGGAAGGAAAATGTAGACACAGAAAAGATAAAATAAAAGAGTTCTACACAGCTGGATGAGGACGATAATGAAACGATGACTAATTTTGAGGGTTTGTTTTTTGAACGAGTCAGAGTTTAATTATCTTTTCGAAAAACAAACAGTATCAAACAGAGGGATTTCTCATTCATCACACGGCACTGGTGAAAAAATACAATTAGAAACTTTTCCTTTTTCTTTATTTATTTATATTTGTTATTTTGAATCAAATGCATAAATTGTGGGTTTTTTTTGTATTTACAACATGAACAAATGCTAATTTCATTTTTTTTTTTTTGCTTTGTCTGAGGAGCAGCTGCAGAGTGGAGAGGCTACGACCGGAGTCTAGATCGGATTAGTCCAGATTAGTGTAGGAGTTTCTGCTCATCCCAGCAGCAGTCACCTGGAGACAAACGGAATCAGAGCAAATTATCTGCCCGGTCGCAGCCGTCTGTTTGTAGGAGGGAATCCAGGAGACAGAAACGAGGAATATGAGGTTATTGATGTCAGTTGATGATGTGAGGGAGAGGCTGGGGGGAGATGGTGGGAGAGGGTGGGAGAGAGGGGGAGGCAGTGAAGGGGGGGTGATATAATGAATCCAACAAACATAAAGCATAACTCTGAATGTTGTACAGTTCAGGATGATGATTTCCCACATCCTGGTGACTACCGCAACCGACCCATGACCTACGACCTATGACCTTTAGAACTGCTGCCAATCATCATCATCAGTTTAATGTTGCAGACTTTAAAGCCTGTAACTTTGTTTGGGTTCAGAGCGAGTTTTCATGGCACAAGAAAAACGTTTTTTTTCTAAGGAAAAGATGTAAGAAACTGGTTGCCGGTTCAATTCCTTGTCTTTCTTTATGAGAGTGTGAATGGTTGTGAACCGTCTGATGTTACCAAATAGAATACAGAATGCCGGAAAAAATAAATCTGCCGGCGACCACGCCAACAAAAAACTTAAAACGAAAGTGACACCACGGCCCGGAGACGCTCCGATCGATGATGTCATGCTGTTGTTTTTTGTGTCTTTTGTTCTCATTGATCTCCTCCATTAATGAGTGAAGGAGCTGATGACTGTGAGGCCTCCCGCTGCTGCTTCAGAGCCAACGATGAGTAATGGAAGGGGGTTCAAAACCCAAGACAAGCGAGGCGGTGACGTGGGGCAGACTCACGTCCTCGCACCTGTGTTTGGTCTCGTCTGGACTGAAGGTTCTCCTCCGACGTCAGATCCTTGTTGGAAAGCAGCGCTGCATTAATAATCCACTGATGTGAAGCCCACCGTCCTCACTCACTGAGGGGGGAGGAGTGAGGGGGCTCCTGCTCAAGTGATGACGCTGCAGATATTTGGATGAGTTACAGCGTGGAGCCAGGAAACGTGGCGAGCACCGAGGTGAGAGAGTGAGATAAAAAAAAGAAAAAAAAAAGTCTTCAGTGCCTTCAGCTGCGAGTGTCGTTACGGTGGATAATAACTCCCTGATTGTTGTTGTTGCTTCACTTTACAGAAACAGCCGTGCCGCCGCTCCGGGACACACACGGACGTAAAGATTTCACACACACTCGTTTGGGCTTTACATTCTCTTTTCTGCCTTCTGCATATTGGCTTAAAAAAATCAATATCTCCTAAAAGCCTTTCATTAGACACACATCCATTTGTCCGTGCGCAGCTGCCAGGAAAAGTTGTGCCTGGAAATATTCCAGTGGCGCCTAAAAGCCAACACTGTTTTTTCTTGATAAAAATGCGGTTCATTACCTCACTGTTCTGAGTGCGTGTGTGTGTGGCCAGTTTCTCCGACAGTTGCTTGTAAAGTTTCTGATTTTACCTTTTATTTTTTGTTTTCAAGTCATCTGAACCACATCACAGCAAATCATCTGGACGGAAGCGCTGAAGCTGATTGGCTGCCGGACGGCCCGTTGACCACGTGTTGACTTCATTTGTCGCCACTGAGAGTCGGCTCATGTCAGAGGTAGTTTCTTCAGATTCCTTCACTAAGCCTTGTCCAACAGCTGCCCTAACGCTGTTGTGTGTTAATGTTGTAGAACTACACCGTGAATAACACACAGAAAGTTTTATTTCTGAAGACCTTTCCAGAATATTATGAACGCAGTTTGTGCAGCTGTAATCTCTTAGTTTACTGGTTAATTTACTGAATTCTTCAATTCTTTGTTTTTTAAAGTTTTTTTTAATATTTTTAATGTTAATTTCAGGAGGAAAAGTACCAAGTGATAATATTTTAAGAGTAGTTTATGCCCTGTTCCTGTAACCGAGTGACTTTTGTTTTTATACTTTTTTTTTTTTTAAATAAACCTGCTGCACTTGAGAAGAGTCTCCCTGGTCCTGCATTCGGGTCCTGCCTAATTCCTGCCATGACGACAGATGACACAAGCAACAGTTTGAATATTACAGCTCGACTGCGACTCCATGAAAACATGATATAACTCCTAAAACGGTAAGCTAATTTGTCTGTGTTAACTTTTCCCGATTGTTTTGATTATATAGAATATAAAATATAGAAAATAGTTCAATGTTTTAGTGTAATAATCGTTTTATAACTGCAGGCGTACCCGCCCGCACCAACGGCCGCATCCCTCAGATTAAACCCAGACCACGCTTGATGTTCTGCCACTATCATCCAAATTGTGTATTTTTCAAATTATTTCACTTCTGTCTTCGTGTTGATCTGGTTTGTTTAATTATTTTTTTTTTTTTGCAAAAAGTGGACTGGCATTTTGTGTTTAAGAGTAAAAGCTTTAAGTTAATAGTCTATTTGTGTCTTGCATTTTAAGGCATTTTGGGGACTTTTTATTTTTTGGGATTTTTTCACGATGGTAAGGCTATAGTAAGGCGTGTTTTGGGTGATTTTTGAAATATTCATATAAAATACTTTTTGGACTGTTAAACACAAAATATTCACCTGGCAGCATGTTTTAGGACATAATCTTGCATTTTAAGGCATTTCGGGCACTTTTTATTTTTTGGGATTTTTTCACGATGGTAAGGCTATAGTAAGGCATGTTTTGGGTGATTTTTGAAATATTCATATAAAATACTTTTTGGACTTTTAAACACAAAATATTCACCTGGCAGCATGTTTTAGGACATAATCTTGCATTTTAAGGCATTTCGGGGACTTTTTATTTTTTTGGATTTTTTCACGATGGTAAGGCTATAGTAAGGC